TATTTGTGACTACGCAACCTAGGCGCCTTTATGAAAGGAAGCGCAAAATGCCAACAGATAGTTCAGATGATGAGTTGGAGACTTCTGAATTATTTGCTAGCCATTCCATGCCAGTGGGTTACTTGGAAAAAGGTATGATAGATAGTTATTCAATAGAGGTCGGCTATTTCTAAGCCATACCATGCAAATTAGTATGAACAATACCTATATTATTTTACAGATCAACAACGAACAATAGCGCTAGATTCACCACCTGTGAGCCAATGAAATAGCCCAAATTCATCTTCATCAGAAGATTCTGAAGTTAGTGATCGCATTTTGAGAATGGTCAGTCCAACAAAAGCGATGCTAAAGAAAAAGTGCCAGATATTTTCAGTTAAAATAAAAAACATGAAAAATAAAATAAATGCAAGGAAATCTAAAATGTTCAGATTAAAAAAGAAATCTACTAGCTTTTCTGTGGGGTCAATTCTGTACAATTTGTTAAGATTTAGAAGCTCAGCAGTTGAAACATTTATTAATATGCAGTTGTTTCATACAAAAAAACGAAAGTGGTCACAAGCCGAAAAAGATCTCGCTCTTTCACTGCATTACAAGTCACCTGGAGCCTACAAATTTCTACTGCAAAATCTTAAATTTATTTTGCCCTCTACTAGAACAATTAGTGGTTGGTTAAATATATGCAGTTTGAGAACGGGTGTAAAAACAAATTTAATAAGTAAGCTTGCATTGAAAGCAAACACCATGACATCAAGAGAAAAAACATGCGTTGTAATATTTGATGAGCTCGCATTAAAAAAAATGCTAGAATTCAATCAATCCCAAGATATAATTGAAGGTTACGAAGATCTAGGAAGTTTGGGAAGAGAAAACAAACTAGCAAATACAGCTTCGGTATTTTTAATTCGCGGGTTATATTATAATTGGAGAATACCTTTTGGATATTTTGTTTCTGCTGGACCTGTCAAGAGCAATTCATTGCAAGAATTGATTAAGAGTGTCATCACAGCACTGAGAAAGTTAACTTTCGATCCGAAAGTTTTAGTTTGTGACCAGGGGTCAAATAATCGCAAGGCTTTAAAATTGTTGGGTGCTACAAAAACAAAACCTACCATTGAAATTGGAGGGCAAATTATTTTTACCGTATTTGACGCGCCTCATTTATTAAAAAGTCTGCGAAATAATTTTATGAACAAGAAATTGCAATTTGTTGTGGAAGGAAAATATGTTTCTTGGACTGACGTTACAAATACATATGATATTGATGAGAGGAGTATCACTACTAGGGCAATGTTAAAAATTACGCCTAATCACATTTCTCCGTCAAACTTTCAGAAGATGCGTGTAAAATATGCTGCTAAAATATTTTCAAAGACCGTTGCTGCTGCAATTAGAACCGTTGTGTCGACAAAACAATTGAACAGTTCTACAGAATTTATTGAAAATATTAATAACATTTTTGATTCATTGAATAGTAGAGTATTACAAGACCCCAATCCATTTAAAGGACCATTATCAATTTACAACAACACATCTATTGATATACTGGAAAAAGTCATAAAATATTTCCAAAGCATAGATGTGTTGGAAAATAATAAAATACGAAACAATATATACTGTTTTGAAGGATTTTAGTGGACATTAACATCTATTTTATTGTTAAATCTTAAAAAACGTCAAATCCCAAGGAATTACTTATTTATTGACATCATTCCTAAATCAAGACCCGCTTGAAAACTTTTTTTCTGTTATTAGAAATAGAGGTGGTTATAATCCCACTCCAACAGTACGTCAGTGTCGGATAGCTATTCAACAAAATATGAATATTCGTCTTCAAATGGCTATGGATACAGGAAATTGTCAAATTTCTGAAAGTGAAGCACTTGATATTGTGGAAGTTGAAGAAAGTACACTTCATTTTAAAAACAGAAAATCAAGAGGAAGCTGAAGAAAAAGATCAAGAGGAAGTTGAAGTTACGACAGGGGAAGTTGAAGTTACGACAGGAAAAGTTTTGGGAAAAGAAAATATATATTTGAATGCAAAACTTGACGATAACGAAACCACTAGCATAAATTTGGAAACTTGCTCTGTTTATGTTGCCGGATATTTGATATATAAATTTCAAAAGAAATTTAATTGTACAAAATGTTACAGCTCCTTTGTTAAAAATGATGATTTAATAAATCCTAATGAACTCTTTATTCTTTCTAAAGTCTTTTCTCAAGGAGAACAAATAACTTGCTCTGTTTATGTTGCCGGATATTTGATATATAAATTTCAAAAGAAATTTAATTGTACAAAGTGTTACAGCTCCTTTGTTAAAAATGATGATGATTTAATAAATCCTAATGAACTCTTTATTCTTTCTAAAGTCTTTTCTCAAGGAGAACAAATAAATTTTTTGAAGAGACCTTCAGACCAATTTGTATTTTATGTCCAAGATTTGTTAAGGGATTTTAATGAGGCATTTGAAGTATATAAATGTCGTATTAATGTTTCAAAGAATATTAGGGAATCCATAAAGATAACGTTTCAAAATCATTTTAGGTTATTTGAACTCGAAGACAAATCTGAATGTACCATTCACTATGATTTCATCATTAATTTATTTATTAAAATGAAAATGTTCCGTCATTTAAAATGGGAAATGGCGAAACAAGATAAAAAACAATTATTGCTTCGGTCTGAGTTACCAAAACCACATCGAAAAGTAATTATTTTGTCATCAAAATAAAAAAAAATCAATTCATATATACAATCTACTTCAGTTGGACTCACATGGAAAACTCTTTTATTATTGGTTTTGTGAAAAAAATTATTGTTGATAAAAAGTTTATTTTTCACAATACGGAAGAATGTTATAAGGTAAAGTTATTTTGAATTAAAGGTTATACCTATTCAAATATGCAATTACAGCCAGTTAGCATGAAAATTCAGGTTTGGTGATTATTTACGTTTTACATTATAAATTGTGTTTTTTTTTTTAATTAGTTGAATGGCTGTGGTACATTGTGGTTATAAATTTAAATACTGAATTTACCTCTCTTATCTGTTAAAATATGATATCTGATGATTATATTATAGATTCTGGACCATGCAGAACTTTTTATCAAGAATAAATTTTTTTCACAAAACCAATTATAAAAAAAGTTTTCCATGTGAGTCCAACTTAAGTAGACACTGTATATATATATATATATATATATATATATATATATATATATATATATATATATATATATACAATGTGTGGTTGGCTTCTTGAGTGATCTCCTATTGATTTGATTTCATCGCTAGTTCCATTCTCTTTTGAACTTGGCTGCACCGTACTGATGAAGACCAATAGTCAGAAACACGTGTTTGCCTTTAGGCATTTTTTTTTTTTCATTTTTTGCGGTATTTGCCCAATAATCCTTTTATCTTTTACATTTTTTCACCGCACTAAACCTTCTCTTGTTTAGTTTCCCTGGGCTTGGTTGCATCTTCATAGCGGCTATAACTTACCTCCGTGGCGACGCTAATATTTTCCTAGTAATCACTGGGAATGTTAGCACAGTCCACAAATGTGTGGTTGGCTTCTTGAGTGATCTCCTATTGATTTGATTTCATCGCTAGTTCCATTCTCTTTTGAACTTGGCTGCACCGTACTGATGAAGACCAATAGTCAGAAACACGTGTCTACGGTTTGCCTTTAGGCATTTTTTTTTTTTTTTTTTTCATTTTTTGCGGTATTTGCCCAATAATCCTTTTATCTTTTACATTTTTTCACCGCACTAAACCTTCTCTTGTATATATATAAATAAGTTCTTAAAGAAATCCAGTACCCAACGATGTTCTGTTCTAAATTTTTAATATCCTTTTCTCAATTTTTTATTCTGATTAATTTGTGTTTACATTTAGGAATGAAACACTCTGTATATAATTTTATACATAGTTTTTTTACAAAAAATTATTATTTTTGTTTTAGTTTTAGTTCTAAAATAAGGTATATTTTTTTATAACATATTTTGATTATATATAAAATTTTACAAATTGTAATTGTTTAATATTGTTTAATTTTCAGTTCAAAACATGAAGTTTCTTTTTATTTCGATAGGTTGACGACTGAAACACACTGTAAATTTAATTTTCTGCAGGTTTTTTCATTATAAATTAATTAAAAATTATAGTTGTTGTTTTTGTTTAATTTTTAGTCTTACTTTTTTCATAAATTAATATTTGGTATATCTCCAGTTTCTTTTCAGTTTATGTTTACGTCTAAGAATAAATGTCCCTGTAAATAATTTAATTTTCTTTTTATATTTGCAGAAGTTTTTTTTTTAATAAAATATTTGTTGGTAACATGTTTTTTATTAAAAAGTGGATTTATTTTACATTTTAAAATTACCTATGCACATGAAAAGTAGGTACTATTTTTTGATAAATTAATTAATGAAACTTGACATTTTTTATTATTGTTTTAGAAATAATAAATAATTATATAATTTATTGCAGATCACTTCATATTTTAGATGCATTACTACAATTATTAAAAATAACATTGATGTTCTCCGTTTATTATTTACTTAGGTAAGTAATATAAAAGTCTTTATTTAATCTAGTTATTTATTATTTAATTTTAAATTCTGAATAATAAAATTTAACGCAAGCATAAATATATAAACTGTTCGATAATTCAATATTTCTTAAAGCAATCACAATTTGCCTGTGTTACCTACTGTGAAATAAAAATCTACCATCCGATTGTCGCCACTGTACGGACACCGGGTTTGTGGGCAGAGAGGTGCGGTATTCGCCATGAAAGAGACTTCCGATGAGAGAGCAGTAGGGTACGCGTTTTAACACAACCATTGCTTCTCTTGTTATACTCCTTTACTCAATGGTTGGGTTTAGTTCTCTTACTTTTCCGATTTATAACTGCAATAGCGTACGTGTATTATTACAGAGGAAATAAATTCGCCTTTGGGCTGTCAGCGCGGCACGAGACGTAGAGAGCAAGGCAGGTAAAGGTGAATTTTGTTTATCACGGGAGCTCCGGTTTCCTCTTAACTAAATTTCTTTAGCTATACAAAGGCAACAAATCAAAGAGAAAAAGTAATCCAGTTATGGCTAAAGAGGAGTGATCGAATGCGCTACAAAGAAAATACCTCTTAATAGATATTTTATCAATAATAGTATATTATTAAACGAGCAATTTATGGTAGCCATTATTCACCCGAGTGAATAATGGCCATAAATTGCGAGTCTAATACTATACTTTGTCCACGACCATTATGGTTTCTTTATTAAATAAAAGTTAAGTGTAGAATGAAAAGTTTTTATTAAACATAGGTAACTAACTGTTGTTTTTTCCACTTTTCAATTTTATGGATTTTTCGATATTTCGATTTTTTGATTTTTCGATCTAGAAAATATTGTTATGAAAAGTATCGCCTATCTTTAGTTATCTACCGGAATGTGCCAGAATTACAAAAGCGTGAATTATCATAATTCACTCCGTGATATATGGGTACTATATGCTTTTAGTTAGGAGGTAGAATATTGATTTATTATTAAGTGGTCGTGGACAAATATTTTAATTCTATTTTTTGCATTATTTATAATCTGCAAGGTTGTTCTACTTTTTATTAACCAAGATATCCGACGTCCTACGTTCATAAAACATCTTAAAGACGTCTTATTTATGGCTTTACAAGACCAATATTATCTATTAATAAGTCGTCTTATTTATGGCTTATTTAAAGCTTCACAAGACCATTATAAGCCATTAAAAAGACGTCTTATTTAAGGCTTCACAAGACCATTATAAGCTATTAATAAGTCGTCTTATTTTTGGCTTATTTAAAGCTTCATAAGACCATTATAAGCCATTAATAAGACGTCTTAAAGACATCTTATTTATTGGCTTACTTAAGGCTTTACAATACCATTACAAGCTATTAATAAACCGTCTTAAAGATGTCTTATTTTAAGCTCTAAAGACCAATATAAGACGTTTTAAAGACGTCCCCTTTTGTAACATCAGACGTCTTCTAAGACGTCTTTCAGGAAATACCAGACGTCTTAAAGACGTCTCTAATGTCTTATGCGAGACGTCTTAAAGAGGTCTTTAAGACGACTTTGTGCTATCTGGGTAACGTCTATAATAAAACTGACTGACTGACGTCAGGATCACTGACTTATTTAAGCTTGCTTTAACCTTCCCGAAATGCCCCCAGACAACACACCAAATCCCAGAGATATCCACAGAATATCTTTTGTGGATATCCAATATCATAAATATCCCGTGGATCTAATATGGATATCCAAATGTCCGTCTATGTCCAGGATATAGAAGATATCCTATGGATATCCAGCAAAATATCTAATGGGTATCTCCCAGACAATACACGAAATCCCACAGATATCTACAGAATATCTTTTGTGGATATCCAATATATCCACAGGATATCGTAGATATCCACTGGATCTAATATGGATATCCGTCTATATCCAGGATATAGAAGATATTCCATATCCAGCAAAATATCTAATAAGTGCCTTTAGTAGAGGTTCATAAGTAACCAATGGATATATCCTACATATGTTTAACCTATCCAGTGTACATCCATTATTTGATATATTTAAGATATCAAAAATTATATGTCTATAGGATGTCGTCTTTAATGCTTCATTAATTTTTTATTTGGAAGATAAGTGGAACAAAGTACTGCATAATGTAAAAACATTCCATGTGAAGAAAATCAGCATTTCAGTAGCATAGCATCATCTGTATTTTTAATTTGGTATAAACACCCATACAAGGTTTACTATTCCAGCGTTAATTATTTTTGACGCTACACAGCATAGGTATAGCATGCAGAGTAGAAAGAGTATCAACATTTTATTTTTACAATTAAATATTGTACACCATGCCTAAAAAATCACCAAAATGTCATTGAATATAT